TTTGACGAGGTAAGTTGCCATTTTCTTTGCTATAGTTTTGCTGTCAGGGACCCTCTCTCAAAGTTAGTAAATGTATTTTTGGATTGTATCTTGGATTTTACATTTGACAGTGTCTACTTTAAACTTAATAATTCAAAAAGGAAGGATTTGCAGACATATCTTCATATGACCTTTTTCCTTGTTTTGGTGTGAGGAACCTGCCCGCAAAGCTTGCAAAATTATTTTTTATACGCCTATATATATATATATATATATATATATATATATATATATATATATAATGTGTGTTGTATTGTGACATATTATGCATGCCAACATTTTCATAATAAAATTGGTATTAACCGATTTTGGTCAAATTATGAAGATCTATTTACATGAACAATATCTCTTATGCATTTCCACTTATATAATCTCTCCAAAATATAGTCAACTTGTTTTGTGGTTGTATGGTTTTGTTACCTTAATAAACTAAATGGAACATAAATATTTATAAATCAGTTCAAAAGATAAAACCCATAAAAGTTTATCCGATAAATGTAATGTCCCATAAATCAGATAAAATCATTTTATTATTTAAGTCTAATGTGAGTTGCTTGACATTTGATAACATTCATCCATCTTTCATCATGTTTCAACATTAAATTTACTAGCAGTTTTTATTGCTTAACGCCCCCCAACCAGATCTTTTTTGCTTGAATATTGGTTTCCATTTGTCTGATACAGACTCATGTAGAGCTCATTCAAAAATGTCATAAGAAACAGTTATATATAATTAAAAATGCCTTAAAGTCAAAGAATCCCTTAGATTTTAATGAATGCAATCCTTCATTTGATTTTAAAGACTGGAACTAGAAAATCATAAATGCAGAACCTCACTAAATAAGAAAAACCATATCAGTTGATGCCTTTTAACCGCAATGATAACAACTAAACTGAATACAGATGTAATTCAAAGAAAAAGTACAATTTTTCTCATCAGAATTAATCTTACATATTTATAAATCTACCATTTATCCATGCACTGAAATTTGCTTTCAATTCTGTTGTGGAGTGGTTTCACACTGGAGGCTTGTATTTGTACTAAGTTGGTCCTAAAATAGGTATGACGCAGAGTAATCTAGTTGTGGTCGCTGATACTTTAGTATTCAACTGACTGTCGTCCAGCATCGACTGAGTGACCAACTCACTCACCGACTCGTTACTCTTACTACTACTTATTATAGGTGGGAGAGTCTATTAACTATAGAATAGGTGTGTTCCACTATAACAATATCCTATCTGTTTTTTGTGCTATATATATATATATATAGAGAGAGAGAGAGAGAGAGATCATAGTAAAAAGAAAGAACAGTAAGATATATATAATCTGGTTTTTCTTATTGATATTTTTATTTTTAACAAAACAGTGCTCAATGTAAATTTACAGAGCATAAATATAAATTAACTGATTTTAAAATATGGTTCCTTCACTACATGAGTTACCATGTTTCAAAAACTGAAGCTAAAAACTTTGGAATAACTTATTTTAAAATTTACTGAGTTTTAAACGTACATAAAATTCATAATTTTTTGTTTCCAAGGATACAGAGAAATCCAATCATTTAGACAGGGGTGGTAGCCCGTTCAATTTTATTAAATATTATTATATCAATTATGAGTTACATTTGAAAAAAAGGTTAAGTCTAAGTAGGGTAGGGGTGCCTTTTTCAATGAATTATGACATCTGTATGTGCATTTAAAACTCAGTAAATTTAAAAATAAGTTATTCCAAAATTCGCTTGAAGATGAAACAGAATTAATGTTTTTAATTCAATTATATAATTAAATTTTAAAGTTTTTAGCCTCGGGTTTTGAAACATGGTAATTTCTGTGTAGCGAAAGAACCACATTTTTAAATCAGTTAATTTATAATACATATGTATACACACACACACACACACACACACACACACACATCATGTTTATTGGAAAGCGTTCAATATCGGAGATAGAGCTAACATATTTAGTTGAATGGATATGAGTCAGTTTCACATTTATGCGATCCTCAATATGTACGACTTTGTGTATATGAGCATCATCCAAAACAGGCACAAGGGAGAATTCCCACCCCCATCAACAGCAAATATGATCAAACAAAAATAAATAGTCTCAAATTTGAAAAAATAAATCAGTTTGTCTGAGGATAGCATAAGCAAGAAACCGAGAGTCACAAATTCATATCCATTCAACTAAATACTATATATATATATATATATATATATATATATATATATATATATATATATATAGTTTAAGGTGTGTTATATTTATGGGATAAAGTGCTCAATATCAGAGACAGAGCATGTGTAAATATAAAAGTGAACATTGAAGTCAACACTTATTTCACATAGAGTATATTTGTAAAAGGACAATATGAATAAAGATAAAAGGAAAATTTATTGTTTCATCCTCTTAGGGAATTTATCAAGGCAAATGTATGGATTTTATTTTGTGACAAGTATTTATATACAAGAGCAAAAATGTTATTGGCATATATATATATATATATATATATATATATATATATATATATATATATATATAGTATTTAGGCAGCATTTTTCCATTGATGCATGTTTCATTAAATAATATAGACAAGTTTTATCCAAATTCCTTTCATAATATCTGATAAGCTTAATAACATTATCATTAAAAGAAGAAAGAAAATCACAATATTGATACATATTTTTTAATCCTATCTAAGTTTTTAAAGCTTACATAAGCCATCATCAAAGACGACAATAACATTATAATATATTAAACAATACATGGGCATGTCAGTAATGATAGTCTGTTTTTGTTGGCATGGAAGATTCCCAAGTAAAGACAAATTCGTGCATATGAGATGCTGGAAGGGAAAATCACACCACAGCTCATGACATCACACATCATGCGAGAGTGAAAACGAGAAGTATTAAGTATGGGAAGCCATTCGTATAAACCAATGGCTTCTGTTATCAATTATAGGCTTCAATGCAAACAAAAACATGCAAACTTCATCTTGATTTGAAACTTAAACTTTAACTAAAAAATATTACTCATCTAAAAATAGCTTCAGAATAAATTGATGAATTAGACTAAAAAAGACTTTACTTGAACTGTCATTCACAATATTAAAATATTACTATTAGTAACTTTTTATTTTTGTTTATTAATATAATATTCAGTTTATATTAAATCCCTAATTTATTTGTGGAGAAGTTAAATATTTAAATTACTATCAAGCATTAAATCTAATTTATTTGTGGAATATTTAAACATTTAAATTACTGTCAAATGTTAAAATCTGTGTTTTTCTGAATTGCCCAAACATCAAGCTATACCACCCTTCTCCTTCCTTCAAAGCCCTGCATCCATCTCTTATTTCTTATCTCTTTACTTTCCCATTTCTTTCTTTTTTTCTTCTTTCCCATATCATCACTGGTGAGTTGACCAATTAAATAGGTCAATATCTGATCCTTATCCCACCTCCTCCTCAATATTAAGTATTGTAATAAAATAAAAATAAATTTTAAAACTCTCCCTTCCCTCTCTGATTTCAACCATGTCTCTCATATTATCCCTCACCATTCTCTATGTCACGTTATATAAGCTTAATACTGCCCTTCAAAAGTGTAAATTTTAAATTCATTTTTTCACCCTTGAAAATGAAGTCTGAAGATCCAGAGAAAAGTAAAATCTCTGGTGAAATAAATTATAACAATTGAACCTTAAAGTGGTCTGTTTTTTCTTTTAATTAAATTATTCGCTCTGACTTAACATTGAGCTCTCCGGATTTCATCCTCCTTGGGATTATCCATACGAATAACCAAGATTTTCATTAAATATATATATATATATATATATATATATATATATATATATATATATATATATATATATATATAGAAAGATAGACAGACAGACAGAAATGTTTCATTGAATAATTTAAACAAGTTTTGTCTACTTATTTTCAATTGGATCATTTCATATTCATGGAAAAGCTTTTTGGTGTCATTATTAAAGGAAGAGAGAAAATTACCATGTTGATACATGTTATTTATTCTGAATAATTTCAACATGAGCACAATGCCATCATCAGGGTGTTGTTTATTTCAAGACAAATATAGTAGTTGTCTCCTTGGCAGCTAAGTAGAAAAAACTTGTCTAAATTATTTGATGAAACATGTCTGAATGAAAACATGCTGCTAAAATATAGGTATATATATATATATATATATATATATATATATATATATATATATATATATATATATAAAGATAATCAAAAATGTGAAATGTTTATAAATTTAACATGTTTTGCTTTTATTTAAGCTTCATAAAAAATGAATTATGGAGGAGAAAGGGAAATTGTAGTATTTATTATTTGGGGGTTTCTTTTTCATTAAGTAAAACCCACATGTATTTACCTTTTCAGGTAGTGAGGTAATGTTCATGTGTATAGTTCTTCTAGTTGGTCGATGTTGGATTTGGTTGGTAAAGTGTGGATGGGTGGGGTTGATTTTTAGTGGGCTATTTTTTATGAGAATAGGATAAGATATTGTCATACCTGGTATGTGTTTAAGCTACATCAGGCCTCTGATTGGGAATTTTTGAGGAGCATGTAATCACCTCTTAATTGCTGTTAGGATCCCAGCTATGGGCAAATAGTGACTCTGTCCAAACTGAGGTCAAAACACTATGCAAGTATAACAATACATTTTTATAGTAAAAATTTTCAAAAAATAGATTTTAATAGTAAAACAAAGAAAAATTACCAAACTCTTAAATAAATTAAATTTCAGCATTAAATGTCCCATAAAGAGTTGATATACCATTGAACAAACCAAACCAAAATATGACAGAGATGAGAATGGCTCAAGATAGATAGATGGGAACAGGCCGAGATAGATAGATGGGAACAGGCTGAGATAGATAGATAGATGGGAACAGGCTGAGATAGATAGCCTGTTCCCATCTATCTATCTATCTGAGATAGATAGATAGATAGATGGGAACAGGCTGAGATAGATAGATAGATAGATAGATGGGAACAGGCTGAGATAGATAGATAGATAGATAGATGGGAACAGGCTGAGATAGATAGATAGATGGGAACAGGCTGAGATAGATAGATAGATGGGAACAAGCTGAGATAGATAGATAGATGGGAACAGGCTGAGATAGATAGATAGATAGATAGATGGGAACAGGCTGAGATAGATAGATAGATAGATAGATGGGAACAGGCTGAGATAGATAGATAGATAGATAGATGGGAACAGGCTGAGATAGATAGATAGATAGATGGGAACAGACCGAGATAGATAGATGGGAACAGACCGAGATAGATAGATGGGAACAGGCCTAGATAGATAGATAGATAGGAACAGGCCTAGATAGATAGATGGGAACAGGCCTAGATAGATAGATGGGAACAGGCCTAGATAGATAGATGGGAACAGGCCTAGATAGATAGATAAATAGATAGATGGGAACAGGCCAAGATAGATAGATGGGAACAGGCTGAGATAGATAGATAGATAGATGGGAACAGGCTGAGATAGATAGATAGATGGGAACAGGCTGAGATAGATAGATAGATGGGAACAGGCTGAGATAGATAGATAGATGGGAACAGGCTGAGATAGATAGATGGGAACAGGCTGAGATAGATAGATGGGAACAGTCTGAGATAGATAGGTAGATAGATGGGAACAGTCTGAGATAGGTAGATAGATGGGAACAGTCTGAGATAGATAGATAGATAGATGGGAACAGTCTGAGATAGATAGATAGATAGATGGGAACAGTCTGAGATAGATAGATAGATAGATGGGAACAGGCTGAGATAGATAGATAGATAGATGGGAACAGGCTGAGATAGATAGATGGGAACAGGCTGAGATAGATAGATAGATAGATAGATAGATAGATGGGAACAGGCTGAGATAGATAGATAGATAGATAGATGGGAAGAGGCTGAGATAGATAGATAGATAGATGGGAAGAGGCTGAGATAGATAGATAGATAGATGGGAACAGGCCTAGATAGATAGATAGATAGGAACAGGCCTAGATAGATAGATGGGAACAGGCCTAGATAGATAGATAAATAGATAGATGGGAACAGGCCAAGATAGATAGATGGGAACAGGCTGAGATAGATAGATGGGAACAGGCTGAGATAGATAGATAGATAGATGGGAACAGGCTTAGATAGATAGATGGGAACAGGTTGAGATAGATAGATAGATAGATGGGAACAGGTTGAGATAGATAGATAGATAGATAGATGGGAACAGGCTGAGATAGATAGATAGATAGATAGATAGATGGGAACAGGCTGAGATAGATAGATAGATAGATAGATAGATAGATGGGAACAGGCTGAGATAGATAGATAGATAGATAGATGGGAACAGGCTGAGATAGATAGATAGATAGATGGGAACAGGCTGAGATAGATAGATAGATAGATAGATGGGAACAGGCTGAGATAGATAGATAGATAGATGGGAACAGGCTGAGATAGATAGATAGATAGATAGATGGGAACAGGCTGAGATAGATAGATAGATAGATGGGAACAGACCGAGATAGATAGATAGATGGGAACAGACCGAGATAGATAGATAGATGGGAACAGACCGAGATAGATAGATAGATGGGAACAGACCGAGATAGATAGATAGATGGGAACAGGCCTAGATAGATAGATAGATAGGAACAGGCCTAGATAGATAGATGGGAACAGGCCTAGATAGATAGATGGGAACAGGCCTAGATAGATAGATAAATAGATAGATGGGAACAGGCCGAGATAGATAGATGGGAACAGGCTGAGATAGATAGATAGATAGATGGGAACAGGCTGAGATAGATAGATAGATGGGAACAGGCTGAGATAGATAGATAGATGGGAACAGTCTGAGATAGATAGATAGATGGGAACAGTCTGAGATAGATAGATAGATAGATGGGAACAGTCTGAGATAGATAGATGGGAACAGGCTGAGATAGATAGATAGATAGATGGGAACAGGCTGAGATAGATAGATAGATAGATAGATAGATGGGAACAGGCTGAGATAGATAGATAGATAGATAGATAGATGGGAACAGGCTGAGATAGATAGATAGATAGATGGGAACAGGCTGAGATAGATAGATAGATAGATGGGAACAGGCTGAGATAGATAGATAGATAGATAGATGGGAAGAGGCTGAGATAGATAGATAGATAGATGGGAAGAGGCTGAGATAGATAGATAGATAGATGGGAACAGGCCTGATAGATAGATAGATAGAACAGGCCTAGATAGATAGATGGGAACAGGCCTAGATAGATAGATAAATAGATAGATGGGAACAGGCCAAGATAGATGATGGGAACAGGCTGAGATAGATAGATAGATGGGGAACAGGCTGAGATAGATAGATAGATAGATGGGAACAGGCTGAGATAGATAGATAGATAGATGGGAACAGGCTGAGATAGATAGATAGATAGATAGATGGGAACAGGCTGAGATAGATAGATAGATGGGAACAGGCCTAGATAGATAGATAAATAGATAGATGGGAACAGGCCAAGATAGATAGATGGGAACAGGCTGAGATAGATAGATAGATGGGAACAGGCTGAGATAGATAGATAGATAGATGGGAACAGGCTGAGATAGATAGATAGATAGATAGATGGGAACAGGCTGAGATAGATAGATAGATAGATAGATGGGAACAGGCTGAGATAGATAGATAGATGGGAACAGGCCGAGATAGATAGATAGATAGGAACAGGCCTAGATAGATAGATGGGAACAGGCCTAGATAGATAGATAAATAGATAGATGGGAACAGGCCGAGAGAGATAGATGAGAACAGGCCAAGATAGATAGATGGGAACAGGCTGAGAGAGGTAGATAGATAGATGAGAACAGGCCAAGATAGATAGATAGATGGGAACAGGCCTAGATAGATAGATGGGAACAGGCCGACATAGTTGATTTCTATTTATCTCTATGTAATGAAATTATTTGCATGGTGTTATTGCCTTTAGTTTATGTAGGACAGTAATTTTAGTTATTGCTACAGTCAAGTCTTTCTTTCAGGAGAGGGAAATTTTATGTGTTATGCAGATATATATACAAAAATAACTTTCTGCAACAAAGTAAGAAAATGCAGTGTTAAAATTAATGTCAAGAGAAAAGTATAAACAGGAAAATTAGAATTTTTCATGTATAAATGATGAACATTAAGTAAGAAATGAATAAATATTAACATTCTAATATTTGCATAATTCCAGAAGATTCTACATTCATATCCTGGTATAATTATCTAGATTGATGGAAAGTAGTCAGTGTTTTGCAGTACACTGAGTCTGGAAACCACAAGAATTTTTCTTCAAACCAAGTATTAGTGTCATAAAGTATATGACTTTTTCACAATAGTGTCTCCTGTGTGTTGAAAATTCTGATGTAACTAAATTCCCTCCCCTAGTTGTTTAATCTGTGTGATTTGAATCGACTTTCTCAGATCAGTGGCTAAAAAATGGCTTTGAATAAATGAAACCTATTGGTTTTAGCAAGGACTATCTTTCTACAAATGTTATGGACTAGTGTTACTGTTGTGGCCTATTTTAAGGGCCAGAAAGAAAGACACAGAAGACAATGGTAAGTTGAACAAGTGTATTGAAAATAACAGATATATACAAAGCAAGAGTGTTAGTAATAAGCAGATAGAGGTGTACGTCCGAACAGTAGGTTAAGACTGCATTTCTGCTTCCCAACCAACTCTTGCAATTAGTATTTATGAGAGGAGGAAGAGTTCATTCTACTATAGAAGGGTTTACCACAACAGTTATAAAATCACAAAGAACTTTATCAAGTAATCTAAATCATTAGAGGACTTTCAACAATGGCAACAACTAAAATGGATAACACATGTAACTTGGAGAGAGAATAGTGATATAACCAGTATGTTGGCATTCCACACTACTTCAGACAAAAGGCTAGGAAGGAAACCCCCATCAATACTGCGAAGAGTGATAACAGCAAACTTGAGAAACATATTTTCCTGAAAAATCAAAAAATAGGTTTAATAGAAAGATTTTATAAATTTCTAAAATGGAGTGCTGACTACTTGGACAATGAACGCGGAATGTTTCCTTATGAGGAAACATTAAAAATTAACATTAGAGAATACGAGAACAGATACTACACTCGTTATTTACACACCCCACCTCCAGCATTGATGGGATATGACCCAAGATTAGTTTTTGGTGAAGGCCAAAAATAGCCCAGTCCCAGTAACCGATGTTGTGGTGACATCAATATTCTGCCAACCCTCCCTCTTTGGTGTAATAAGGGAGGTGCTGCTGCATGGTTGGAATCCCCAGACCCAAGCATCCCTCATTTATTTGTTTAATAGTTACCCTCCCCCCCGCCAAAAAAAAACTGATGTCGAAACACTATGTAAGTGTAATAATACCAGTAATACATTTTTAGAAAAAAAAACAATATTACCAATACATTTGACTCTTGACAAAACCCTTCTTTACAAAAATATTTCAATGAAACCTGATCTACAAGCTGATTTCTTAGAAAGGAATACATATTCTATTCATAATAACCTATGCTAAAAATCTTGTTGACATTAAATAATGCATTGAGGTTGATATTCCGTAAAACAAAATAAACCAAACTTAGAACAACCTCATTCAGTAGCTCTACATTGATTGGCTCTTGGGTCTTGTTTTTGGGGGACAGTAATAAAAAAAAAACAAAAACACTCTCATAAATTTAAAAAAAAAAAAATGATTTTGAAATTCTATCTGTAAAACTACAATACTGTCTGTCAGTATCTCCCAGCCAGCTTCTTTTGACCCATATTATGTTCTGTTTCTTTGGAAGAAGAGTTCATCATTTTGATTAGAGTCAAAATTATTAAGAATATTTCTGTAAAAGTGCTGAAATTCTATGTAATATCATTCCTTCTATATGGCAGTGAATGTTAAGCAACTTGAGGTGACCAAACACCAGAGATGTGTACATTATTTTCATTTCTTTTTTTTTTTATTGATAATTCACCCAACAGAAAGCACATGAGCCATTCAAGGTAGAGCTTTAGTAAGTGATATTGTAAGGGAGGGGGAAGTAAGAAAGTATTATGAGTTGAGTAAGATAGGTATAGGAGCAACAGTGGAGTAATGGATAGCAGCTTGGATTGAGTAATCGGAGAGCCAAGTTCAAATTCCAGTCGAATCCATTACATTCACTTACATGCTAATATCCTTGGGAAAGGTATGAATCCTCTTCCTCCCCCACCACCTCTGGGTATATAGCAGGATGGACCTGGTTCTATAGCCTTGGATGGCAACTGGTCTACTGCAGAAAGAAATGGCAACCTACTACGGGAAAAAATCTGTGTTGTCAGTCATGTATCGAAAGATACATGATCGGCTAAGCATGTATCACACATGGCACATAACTGACTGAAGATAGGTATTGGTTGAACCTGAAATTTAACCCTTTACTTGTCCTGTGTATGCACAGGGCATATGATTTCAATGTCCGTGCATCATATGTGTTGCCCAGGAGCCATGATTTTAAAAGAGTGGTAAAACTAAGGCTGCTTAACAAGAGTGTGCAATTGAGCAGGACATCTGAGGAAAGGCCTAATCTAATATTTTGTGCATTGTATATGACCACAGGATGCTTGCTTGATAATGTCAGGTCTCAAATGAAAGTCATCTCTTTTCCCACTTTATTGAAATGATTATAAACTTTTCATCACATGTAATGCACAGGATTTTATTATGTGAAACTATAAACAGCACATTCTATCTTGGTCCCACCCTTTCACTGTTGAAACAGTTAAATGTAACCACCTTTTCTACTCCGACATCTTCTTCTCTTACACTTCCCGACAGTGCTACTCCCTTCCTCCTATTTGCTTTTCTGATAGCTTTAATCATCAAATATTCAAATGTAATATCACTTGACATCTTCTGATGGCTTGATTTTGATCCCTTATCCTTTCTTCAATCACCTCTCTTTATTCTTGTTCTCAATCCTCTGTAACCTCTTGCATGCTAGTGGCACTCCCACCTTGCTTGGGATGAAATGATTTTAAAAAAAAAAACTTATTTACATTATTCAGACTATTGATCTCATCTTTGTCGCCATATTTATTACAACATTTTGGCCGTTGTACACTCCGGTGGTTGGAATGTTGAACTGAACCCTTAATTTCACTCACTGGGGTAGACTGTTCAGTTCCACATGCCATGTTTAATGGATGTCAATTATCAGTTATCTCCTGGTAATTCCCCTCTCCAAGTTCTCCACTGCCTTAACCAGGTATTGAACTGACACTCTTTGGGTCCTGTCACTGGATCTAACCAATGCCTTTATCCACTGTGCCATGTGTCTTTGAGTGGATAAACTGGTACTATAAAAAGGAAACTACAACACATATCAATTCGGCATTTAATCTCCTTTCTGAAGACACACAATTTATCCAGCATCATTTCCTGGGGTAGACTGTTCTAGTTCCATGTGCCATGTTTAATGGATGTCTCAAGGGCACATGGCACAGTGGATAAAAGGCGTTGGTTCGATTCAGTGACAGGACCCAAAGAGTGTGAGTTGAATACCCAGTTAAGGCAGTGGAGAACTTTCAGAGGGGAATTAACAAAAGATAACTGATAACTGACATCCATTAACCATGGCTCATGGAACTAGAACGATCTACCCCAGTGAGCGAAATAAAGGGCTCAGTTCAACATTTCAACCACCTGAAGAAGGCCAGAGCGTACAACAGCTGAAACGTTGTAATAAATATGGCAACAAAGATGAGAACAATAGCCCGAATAATTTAAATAATGTACATAATACATTATCTCAGAAATATAGACAGAAAAAAAAAACTGTAGACAAGCATGAATGTTTGGATAGTACACATGAAAATCCTCTCAATTCTCTATAACCTCTTGGATGCTAGTGGCACTCCTGCCTTGCTTTTAAAAAAAAAACAAACTGTAAACAAGCATGAATGTTTGGATAGTACACATGAAAATGTCTTGGTACGCAAAGGGCTAAGAGACCAAGATTATAGTTGTGAGGGAAGTATTCTCTTGGGAGTCTGTTACACTTTGTGTAACAGACTCCCAAGAGAATACTTCAGAGTATAGGAAATTCATGTATCCTGATTTTTTTTTATATTAATAATCCAAATTCCAAACAATGATAAGATAAAAATAAAGAAAACATGGTCTCATGCCTGTTAAATAAACCACTGATTTACAAACATATGTACATAGTTAAAAAGTATTAAAAATAGTCTTTACACTATTTACATTATTCTGACTATTGTACTCATCTTTATCGCCATATTTATTACAATGTTTTGGCTGTTGTATGCTCCGGCCTTCTTCAGGAATGTTGAACTGAACCCTTTATTTCGCTCACTGGGGTAGACTGTTCTAGTTCCACGTGCCATGTTTAATGGATGTCAATTATCAGTTATCTCCTGGTAATTCCCCTCTCCAAGTTCTCCACTGCCTTAACCAGGTATTGAACTGACACTCTTTGGGTCCTGTCACTGATTTAACCAATGCCTTTATCCACTGTGCCACAAAGATGAGGACAATAATCTGAATAATGTAAATAGTGTACATAATACCTCATCTCAGAAATATAGACAGATACAAATAGTCTTTACACTATTTACATTATTCAGACTATTGTCCTCATTTTTGTTATTGGAAAATTTGTAAACTTAAGGAATCGGCACATATGATAGGCCACAAAAATCTTCTGAGCCGACCAAGCATAGAAATGAATACAATATGGGAGCCAGTAATGAGGATTGCCAGAGAAAAGCGATAATAACAACAAAAATTGCAATATGAGCTCTGGTAAAAACATAAAATGATAACAGTAAAAAATTGCGAAATGGGCACTGGTAAAAATGGTTGCTGAAGACATTATGTTTATAATACCCAGAAATTCATACACAGGACACATGGCACAGTGGATAAAGGCATTAGATCCAGTGACAGGAGCCAAAGGGTGTGAGTTCAATACCCAGTTCAGGCCGCGGAGGGGAATTAACAGGACATAACTGATAACTGACCTCCATTAAACGTGGAACTAGTTCGACATTCCAACCACCTGAAGGAGGCCGGAGCATACAATGGCCGAAACATTGTAATAAATATGGTGGCAAAGACGAGTCCAATAGTCTGAATAATGTAAATAGTGTACAAAATACCTCATCTCAGAAATGTAGACAAATACTGATGGCTGGAGCATACAACGGCTGAAACAATGTAATAAATATAGCAAGTTGAGGACAATAGTCCAAATAATGTAAATAGTGTAAATAATACCTCATCTCAGAAATATAGACAGATACTGAAATGCCGAAATGTTGTAATAAATATGGCGAAAAAGATGAGAACAATAGTCTGAATAATGTAAATAATACCTCATCTCAGAAATATAGACAGATACAAATAGTCTTCAGTTTAGTCTTTGGGAAGTTGGTCCACAGAAAAATCTGTAGTTTTAAAAAAACATTTAGTAATTGGCCCACAAAAGAAAAAAGCTGTGACTGAGAAAAGACTTTCAGTAATTGGTTCATAAAAAAGACTTTCACCATTAGTGAAGATTCTCTGACCATCTTTGTTGCTGTTGGTGATATTCGTTTGAAGTGACCGATTGAATGGCCATGCTGATGTTGTTGTTGTTGTCACTGATTCATTTGACGTCAGTGACACATTTCTTTCAGCATGTATTGGGGTGGGGGAAGCCATGTCTTCTGATGTTTCCAGACAGCCTGGAGACAGTCATTTCTCTACTTCATGAAAGTCAAAATCTGTGGGGATTTATAAGAAATTTTTCCCAAAAGTAGACTCAAGAAAAATAGGGTTTTTGCTGTCTCTGATTGGTCAGATATTTTACATGGTGATGTTAATTTCTAACCAATAGACACTTTGATCCATACATTGTGCGTTGTATTGCAGAATCTTTATGGCATGCCTGTAAATATTATCCATTATTGGGTACAAAATAATTTGGGCATGTTCTAATATGGTATGTATATGATGGTATGTAATTCAGTATCTGTCTATATTTCTGGGATGAGGTATTATGTACATTGTTTACATTATTTGGACTATTGTCCTCATCTTTGTCGTCATATTTATTACGTTTCAGCCGTTGTATGCTCCAGCCTTCTTCAGGTGGTTGGAATGTCGAACTGAACACTTTATTTCACTCATGGATGCCAGTTATCAGTTATCTCCTGTTAATTCCCCTCTCCAAGTTCTCCACTGCCTTAACCAGGTATTGAACTCACACTCTTTGTGTCCTCAAGCACAAATGGCACAGTGGATAAAGTGTCCTGCTTGTCGTAATCTGTGTTTGATTCTGATATTGCTGAGTTTTCTATCTCTCTCTTTGTTGGCCAATACCCAATCAATAAAAAGAAAATCCTTTCAAAGTTTCATTCGAAGAGTTTCTTCTCCAGAGCTACTTCCTAGTGGAGCAGACTCCCAAGAGGATGCTTCCTCAATCACAATGATCTTAACCACTTCAAAGGTTCTAGCTGACCATTATCTTTTTTACATATCCTCATAGATTGTTTCTTACACTTTTACAACAGCCTCTATCATTAACCCTCTACCTTGAACGGCTCTTGGGCCTTGTATTAGATGAAAGGATAAACAATGAGTAACCTAACTAATGAGTTTCTGTGAATGGATGGTGGAAGAGGAAAGGATAGTGAAAACACAAACATTGTTAAGAGCTGCAGAAGATAGGGAGAGTCATGATCAACACATCCTGAAGAGACATTATACATAGAAAAAGAAAAAAAGTTGGAAGTAAGTAGATGTCGATTCAGTAAGGAAAGGG